CCAGGACCCGAAAGGACCAGGACCAGGACCCGAAAGGACCAGGACCCGAAAGGACCAGGACCCGAAAGGACGTATATTATCAGTCCGTCATGGTTCAGGAGTTTCACGTCGTCAGGTGTTTCTGCTGTCAGAGCTTCCAGGTTCAACAGGTAACTGACTGCTAACGGCTAACTGCTAACGGCCAACTGCCAACACTGTAATGTAACGGCCACATGTGAACTTTATCACTCGATTTTAGGGAATTTCCCTCTTGGAAAGTGGCTTCGTCATTCCTCGGCCTGTGATTGCGTGTGTGGGCGGGACTCCGTCAGCGGATACCAATTGGGAAGGTCGGGCGTAAGATATTTACTTGTCCTGACGACGATGACGTTTGCATCGCGGGAAGTAAACAAAGAAGAAGGCTTGAGGAGGCATTAAAGCTGCCGCTCACCAGTTTGTCACTTTATCTCAGGGAGTTTTCTGTCCGGAGTTTGCGTCCGTTTTGTTCTTTCCGCCTCAGAGTTCCGCAGTGTGCCCGGGGAACAGCCAGCAGCAGATTGTCGGGATCAGTGAAGGCCTACCTGCTGGGGAGGAGCGAGGCGCTGAAGGAGGGGTCCGGAGGTTCCGCGGCTGGACAAGATGTTTCCGTTCAACTTCGAGTATCTGAGCAGGAAAATACAGCCGGAGTGTTTACCAACCTGAAAAAGCAACTCATTACAACATGTTCTACAAGCGTTAAACAAACAACAATTATATATAAATATGTTCACAAAGGGTAAACAAGCAGGTGAGTATATAAATATGTTCTACAAAGGGTTAAAACAACAACGATATATAAATATGTTCTACAAAGGTAAAACAACAACACATTTATATATAAATAATAGTTCTTACCAAAGGAAACACAACAATATATATACAATTAATATGTTCTACAAAGGTAAACAACAACAGTTGATGGTATAATAATATGTTTCTACAAGGTAAAACAACAACAATCTATATATAAATAATATGTTCTACAAAGGTAAACAACAACAGTGACATATAAATAATATGTTTTCTACAAAGGTAAACAACAGTGACGTATAAATAATTATGTTCTACACGTAAACAACAAACAGTGAAATATAAATAATTATGGTTCTACAAAGGTAAAACAACAACCAGTTGGCACATTAAATAATATGTTCTACAAGAGGGTAAACAGAGCAACAGTGATACTATAAATAATATGTTCTAACAAAGGTAAACAACAACAGTGACATATAAATAATATGTTCTACAAAGGCTAAACAACAACAGTGACATATAAATAATATTGTTCTACAAAGTGAAACAACCAGTGATATATAAATAAATGTTTACAAAAGGTAACACACAACAGTGATATATAAATATGTGGTCTACAAAGGCTAAACAACAACAGCTGCATAATTAATATGCTTCTACAAAGGTAAACAACAACAATGGTAGTAATAAAAATATGTGTTACAAAGGTAAACAACAACAATCTATAATAAATTAATATGTTCTACAAACGGCTAAACAAACAACAGTGACATAAATAATATGTTCTACAAAAGGTAAGACAACCAACAGTGACATATAAATATTGTTTCTACAAAGGTAAACAACAACAGTTGGCATATATAATGAATTATGTTCTAAAAGGTAAACAACAACAGTGATACTATAAATAATATGTTCTACAAAGGTAAACCAACCAACAATCGATAGATGATGATGTGTTTCAGATGGAAGGAGTGTGAGCCTGGGTGGCGTTCTCCTCTGATGATTGCAGCTGATGATGGGTCTGGCCGCATGAAAGACGCACCTTCCGGCTTCATCAAAGGTACAAACACAGGAAGACTATTATGTGAAAGATACTAGGGATAAACTGTTTGTTTGTAATAAAGTTTTATTGAACTCTTTCAGGAGAAGGAAGGAGCGCCGTCGAGAGCTTTCCTCCTCCACGCTTCCCTCGTTCGCATTCGGGCCACCATCTCCTCTCCTCTGGGAGCTCCTCATGGCCCCGGCCCCCTCAT